TAAAAGCTGTGACCTGTGCATAATGAAGTGGGCATTCCTCACCAGCTTGTTTCTGGTGCTTCTTATGGCCGAAGAACACAGTTGCCTCACCCTCAGTGAGGGTGTCCTCAGATTCTGCTGGCAGGCTTAAACCCCAAGACAAAAGAATGTAGCCATTAGCCTTCCTAATCAGAATATTCTCTTTTTTTGGTTTTGATTATCTGCACTGCTTTTTTTTTTTTTTAGTACTTTAAGGGCCAATCTCAATTTAACCCCTCTGATGACTATATCTGTCCTTCATCGGAAGTTTTTCTTCCAGAGAAACTATAGTCTCCTCGCTGTTAGTGCTCCGAGAGTTAATTCGTATCTTCTCATGACTTAAGTGGCTTGTTCCCTAATGTTTATCAAATATACACTCAGTTATTCCAAAAACACTTTTAAGTGCCTAGTGTGGGAGTCTAGGTATATTCCTTGCATGGCTAGAAGATAACTTTATTTTAAAATTTTTCTTTGAGAGAGTGAAAGAATGAACCAGAAAGAGGTCCTCCACCCAATGGTTGACTCCCTAAATGCTCACAACAGCGAAGCCTGTGCCAAAGGCAAGAATCAGAAATTCAATCGAGGTTTCCCACATGGGGGGCAGGGACCCAGGTACTTGAACCATCACCTGCTGCCCATCACGGTGCTCATGGGCGTACATCCCAGTCTAGTACCAGAGCCAGGATATTGACAAGGCCTTCTGATATGAGATGTGGGCTTGCCCGCAGAAGGCACTGTAAACCGCACATGAACCAAACTCAAGGTTTCCTGCCCATCTCTTTTCTCCTAGACCCATCACAGAGTGGTTCAAAGCAGAATATATGAGTCATGGTTGAGCCCTTCTTCTCATTGTTCATCTGTCACAGAGCTCATCCAGCTCTCCCACATAAGCATAGTCACTGCTCTAATGCTAATTTGGACCAACACGGCGCCCGCCTGGATTCTTGCCATGATTTTTAGAAGATGCCCTGAGCCATTACTGCCTTTCTGCAGTGTGACTGAAACTCGGCAGTCTGTCTCCTGCTTCGTCAGTGGTCCCAGATGCTTCTGTCCAGCCCTTCAATACCACCGACGGTCAGCCCTGCCCTTGTCATCGCTCAGTGTTCTTTCTTCCTTCAGGCCATCTCCGTGGCCTAGGTACTCCTCCTTCTAACAGCAACATTCTTCCTCAACTCTTCTGCAGTGTAGCCTGTTTCAGATTTCAATTGAATTATTGTTCAGGTATACTGTATTCACATCCTCAAACTGAATTATCTGCACCAGCTATGGCCTTCGTTATCTCAGTCTTCCGTACTTTGTATTTAGCCTGTAATTCTTTCTGTGATGGCTCTTTCTCATACTCAAAAGAATATCACCCATGGCTGTCTTTTCGGCATCTCGTTTCTCGTTCCTTCCTTTCTTTTTCTAGGTATGTCGATGAGCAAAGTATGCCAAGAGAAATCCCGAGTTAACTCTGCTATAGAATAAACCCTCACTTTAGGCATAAGTTGATGTTGGGTTTTGTAAATGTATTTTTAATGATAATAGCGACAGTTATTGGTAGAGATCTTTATGAGCTGTTGCTGAATTAAGAACGCAATCTTTCATCTTTACCCACTTCGATTGTTGCTTGGATCAACGGATCTCCTTCATCTCCTTTTAATTCCTTGGAAATATTTGCTCTTCTTGGGCTAATCTGTCATAATTGCACTGTATTTATACCCACTCGGTCTTTCTAAATAAGCGCCACTAAGCCTAATTCAGGGGCCCGTCCACACATCACAGTCATTATGTCTACTTCGTTAAATTCTCATGTCTATGGGTCACATGTCAAATGCCACACGGATATTCACTTCATGAACAATGATCTTTTGGATAACGTTTTATTTTTCTTGTTCCACAAGAGGTGCAAGAATTCCAACGACTCCCGCAAGTCACAGAGTTACTGTGAATCTGAGCAGAACTTGGGATCCAAGGGTTTGTCAGCAGCACCTCTGAGTCCTTAGTTTGCATAATGCTCTTTCACTTGCTAAGATAAAAGCTACTTGCTTTCAATGCAGTCTTGTTTAATCATTCACCAGGCTATTATTATTATTATTATTCTGGATGGGTGGCTGCTTTTGCTTGGTTCTGTTTAATGAATTTTGCTCTCTCAGCCGGAAGTTGCAGTGGGGCTCAGAATAGTGGCCAATAGTGCAGGGTGCTTGGCGATCCAAAGTGCCCGTGGGGAGCCAGAGACCAGCCCTGTGTTCTGCGATGGAGAAGTTTCCTCTGGCTTCTGCATTCTTTACTTGGGACTGATACTCGTTTGTTAGTCTTTGGGGTACAATGCTGAGCGCCTAAGCTTTTTGTTCCTTTCACATAGCATTTGCCCCATGTGAAAGGATTACCTTGTGGGAAAGGATTATATTTAAGAGTGACAAGGAAGAAAAGCCGGAGTTGGCCCTGAAGTGCATTTTGATACTGGAAATACTCAATTCAAGTGATTACACGTAGGAGAGGCATGGCTTGTCTGTTTTCCTTTTTTCTCTCCTCCTTCTCTGTGTGTCTTCCCACTCCTCAGTGCCAGGAGGGACACCTCACTGCGAATCTGCCTTGCCCCTACCACGCTGCTGCTGCTGCACTTTCTAGGCCAGTTGCTGCTAGAACTTCGGAACTCCCTTCCTAGGACACAGCACACAGTCACCCTTGCCTCCTCTACCTCCAGCCCAAGAAAGCTGCTGGGTTCTGCATGCCTCCACACTTCCCTTTTCGTCCTTCCCCTAGGCTGGCCCAGAATGACTGCGGACCCAGGATGGGCAGAGGAGAGGTTACAGGAGGTCAGTGGGTCATGACTGCGGTCCAGATCACAGCCCCCAGCGACCCAGAGGGGCTAGCGTGCTGCAGGAGCCACGAGCTGTGTGGCAGAAGCCCCCGGTCTCCGTGGAGACCTCAGGGGCAAAGCCTGAGCAGGCCCTGCGGGAGCGCTCCTCCGGCAGCCACCACAGGCATACGCGGTGCACTCCACCCGCAGCAGGAAAAATTCTGGCTGCCAAGCAAGGCCGGGGACTTGGATCCTCAGCGCTGGTTTTGAAATGCAGTTTTGGTTGTATCCTTTGACACCTAAGTGACCTTGGGTAAGATCCCTTGTGGTCAGAGCCCCAGTGTCGCCATCCGTAAAATGGGGACACTCGGGCGACAGCTGAAGACCGGCACTGCCAGCTTGGAGTGGGTGGAGCAGGATTTACAGGAGGGGGACTAGGGGTCTAAGCGCTGGGGTCTAGAGTGCAAGGTGTAAGCCTGGTTTCCACAGCGATGGGGTTAGCAGCAGGCAGAGCTCCATCGCTTCTCCTGTGTACTCTCTCCTTGCCCACACCTGATAACCTCGGGGACCCTCCCTCCAGGAACCTGTGTCCCGCCTAGGGCTCCAGGCAGCTGCTGCCTGCAGCACGCCTCTGCCTCCAGCGGAGGAATGCTTGTGTGTGTGTGTGTGTGTGTGTGCGCGCGCGCGCGTGTGCACTGAATCACTTCTCCCTCACTCCACACCCCAATTTTGTTGCCTCCTGGGGGTTCCCGGTGGCCGTGGTGAGCCCGACCAAACCTCGGGCGGGAGAAAAAGAGGCAGCCCCGGGGGTGAGGCTAACCCTGCCGGGGACCAAGAGACGAGGAAAGGCGAGGAGGCGCGGAGGAGGCGGGCGAGCGCGGCACGGCGCGCGCGGGCCCGGGACCCCAATCCCCGGTGCTTCCTCTAGGGTCCTGTGGGACCGACCGGGAGCAGCAGCCCAGTCCCGGCCCAGGTGGCGGAGGCAGGGCGGCCGGAGCGGGAGGCGGACTGGCGGACTGGCGGGCGGGCGCGCAGGGAGCGTGGCCCGGCGAGGGGAGGGCGCCCGGCTGCACGTGGGGGCGCGCGGCGCGCGTGCGTCCGAGGGGCGTGGGGCGCCGGCCCGGGCGCGTCTGCGGGCCACCTGCCCTCGGCTGAGCCCCGCTGCCGCGCGCACACACAGACACACGCACAGCCCAAGTCGGCCTCCAGCGCTTGCAACGAGGTCGGTGGTCGCCACAGCTTACCCGTAGGTCCCTCCAGCCGCTTCCTCCGTCCCTGCCCACCCCCGACTCCCGGCCCTTCCCACCGCCCCTTGGCCACACAGGTGGAGTGGTTTGTTCCCCGGGGCAGAAGCCGACTGCAACCCGGGGAGCCGGCACTGCCTGGCTGCTCTCCCTCGCCCTCCCTCCGCCCGTCCCCCTGCTATAAATAACCGGGACTAGCGGGTCAGGAACGTCACACGCCGAGGAGCCAGGACCCCGAGGTTCTCCTCTTTGGGAATTGGGGGCGCGGGGTGAGGCGCAGGAGAAAGAAATTACTCGTGAGTAGCGAGGAGAAGCGGGCGCTCCTCGACTCTGAGAACAGACCCCGCAGCCTTTGGTTTGGTTTTTTTTTTTTTTTTTCATTTTTCTTCCTTTTTTTTTTTTTTTGGTCTTTTTTTTTCCGCTTCTTTTTTAATTATCTCGCCCTCCTTCCTCCCTCCTGCTCCAAATCTAACGGGCTGCTCAACACTGCTGCCATCGGTTTGTCTCTTCCCTCCCCTTGGATTCTGCCCCTCTCCACCTCCGAGCACAATTCCCACCCTCACCCCCTCCATCTCACCCCGGGTGGGGATACCATTCGCCCAAGAAATAAAAGTTCAAACTCCTGGCCCCCCTGCCGCCCTCGAGACCAGAAGTAGTGGGCTCCTGGACACCCCCCACACCTACTCTTGGCTCTCCAGGTTCCTAATCCGGGTGTGTGTATTTAAGAACACACACACACACACACCAAACCCACAAACCCTCGAGGTGCAAAACTGCCTTCTGTAACTACCAAACTTACCAGGCACTGTAGTTGTTTTTGTCTTAACAAAAGGACAACCCCAGACACTCTACTCGGGCGTTCCCGTGGGGTGACATTCCTATCATAGTCAGATATGTATCTGTTCTACATATATATGTACTCCCCTTTTCCCCTTTAATTTTTTTTTTTTTAAACAAGGAAATCTGCTGGGTGCCCGGCAGCCGCTGCTGCCCCTTTGATGTTTTGGTTCGCCGTGCGCATGCGCCTCACATTAGAATTACTGCACTGGGCAGACTAAGTTGGATCTCCTGTCTTCAGTGAAACCTCAATAATCCCACCAAAAAAAATAGAACCACTAAAGGGATGTGGAGAGTATGGAAAAGGGGCTACATTGGGATTTGGTCCTTCGCCTTGATCATCGCTGCCGTGTGCGCGCAGAGGTAAGTGCTGTTTCCCCTTTCTCACTTTGAATGGCTCTGCCTGCATACCTCCGCGAGCTGGAATGTGCAGCCTGGCGCTGCTCCCTCACTGACGCCTGTGTTTGTCATCCCTTTCTTTAGTGTCAATGACCCTAGTAATATGTCGCTGGTTAAAGAGACGGTGGACAGACTGCTGAAAGGCTATGATATTCGTCTGAGACCCGATTTTGGAGGTAATGGAGTTACCTTTGTGATAAGCAGCAGCCCAGCTGTAGCCCAGGCTGTCTTACAGAGCTCCTGGTGTGTGTGTGTGTGCGTGTGTGTGTGTGTGTGTGTGTGTGCGCGCGCCCTGCACCCTGCGCTCTGCGCTCTCCACGCTCGTAGTTGCATGTGTATCAAATGTGTCCCTGTTTTGCCTTCCTGAGAAACTGAAGCAAACTTGAGCCGATCTGTCACTGGCGCTTGGCTGGTCATTCCGAGAGACCCTCTTAGCGTGTACTCACACACGGTGGCTGCTGTCAGTCCTTCGCCTCACTGTCTTTGCTTCCTCCAGATGCCAGACTCTTTAAGGGTAGTCCATGCTGTGACCAGGGAACCTGGCTTAAAGCAGGCCAGGGGGAACATTTGGAGGAGAAGATGTGCAGGCAATTGGTGGAAAGGTGGCAGTAACCCCCCTGTGCCCGCCTACTTTGGAAAGAGTTCTTCTCGCTGGATTTAAAGTGGCTCATGTCTGGATATTGTCCAACTTGCCAAGCTTCCCAGCATAGGAGAAGGGGGAGGGCTAGGGTGGGCGAGTGGGGGTGGGGTGGGGGAGGGAGGACGTCTCCCACTGCAGCCCTAGAGATGCTGCTATGCCCATTTCATTTTGCTGCAGACCCTTAGGAAGCTTCCAGAGCCAAATCCTGGGCACAGAGAGGGGTGTGAATAAGTGAAGAGGAGGGGGTCGCAGTGGCACGGAGAGCAGTCCCACGGGCTGGACACGGTTGCCGAGTTTCTGTGAGTTGTATGCGTGTGTAGTCTGAGCCATAGGGCTGGAACCGGGTCTGTGAGCACACGTGTGTGCCCAGGAAGAAGAGCGATTCCTAGAAGAGTGTCTGACAGCCTCTGGAAAACAAGGGCAGGGTCATGAGAGAGTTCAAGAGCGAGCAGCACACGGGATGCGGGCTGGATGTCCCAGGCCCAGCGACAACTCTTGCTAAGAGTGTATGAAGTTTTGAGAAGTCACGTGGCTGGCCCTGTTGCTTTGCAGGTCCCCCTGTGGCCGTGGGAATGAACATTGACATTGCCAGTATTGATATGGTTTCCGAAGTCAACATGGTGAGTAGTGTGGCTTTGGGGCCATGTGTCTCCAGAGCTTCTGGTGGGAGCAGAGAGGAGGAGGGGGCCAGGTGCTGGGGTAGAGGGTGCTTGGGGGATGTGTGGTGGGTGTTATGATTGGGAGCCAAGGGCACGGGATTCTGCCTCGGAGCTCACTGTGCATGACACACTCTGTTGCCTCATGAAGTTTGCAACCTGGTCCAGGGGAGACCCCGAACTTGGTATGGATTGAGTGAACTGTGTTACACGGGTCCTTTGTGCAATGCAGCCACAGGCAGGACAGCTTCTGCAGAGGCTTCATGGGAAACTCAGGTCATCCAGTGATTTGGGGGCGTTTGGAGTGGAGTTAGGGCGAAGAAGTAGAATTTTGGTGTGACTTTGAACAGAGAAAACAACTTGCCACTGAACTGCAACAGAGAGGCCGAATACATGAGCCTGGAATGATGGCACACTCTTACTGAGTTCAGGATTGGCTCTGCAGCTAGGGGTGAAGGCCCTGCCTGTCCCCACTGCTCACCACCTCCTGTGCACTCAGATAAACACAACAAGCATTGGCTACCTTGTCTCCAGTAAGCGTGTTCTGCTTCTTATGCCACCTTCAGTCACCTTTACAATCATTTAACTCCTATCCTAAGCTGCACAATCTATCAACAACATCACTCCTCAGTGGCTACCTCCTGGGGGTATTTCGGCAAGTACTGAGAGAGAAAACCTGTGTTCCCCAACTGGGAAACACTTGTGGGGGGGATGTTTGCGTCGTGCAGGAGCGCCCCCTGCTGCCCATCCGGGAGCATTGCAGCCATGTAAGACTGACAAGTGTCCCACATTCCCTCACTTCAGGCAACTTAACTTGGGACATTTCTATAGTGATTTTTTTTCTCCTGTTTTTGAAGTTTTACCCTAATGAAAAGTATCCATACACTTTGCCACTTTTTAATTTAAAATTCTATTGTTACTTTCATTCCTGATAATTCACAGCATTTCACAAAAGATTTTAACACATTATTCTGTCAAAGTGAATGAATCGTTAAAAAGAAAAGTGCACTGTGTTGTATTTTCAAGCTATGCAGCATTGAAAATTAGCATGCTTTATTATTTAACTTAAGAAGGCTGAAGAACTAGGCTTAAGTGTGTTCTCAGAAGTAGACAACTTTCCGTATTTCTGTAAGCATACTGCTCGTGAATTGTACAAAGATAACTACTGATCTTGAGATACTGTGAAGGTGCAGGGACTAGTCGTCATTCCAGCAGTGTGTGAACAGCGTGACTCCTTTTGTATTGTGATTATTGGGGTTATTTTTGTCAGGTAGGAAATAAGCCTAGACTAAAGATAACATCGGGTAATTCGGAACCACACTTTTTTTTTTTAAATATATTATGAAATTCCTCCTGTGTGAATAAACAGGGTTTCTTGGGGAATGGTTTGACTTCTTGGACGTTTAAATATTCTCATGAGTAGGATTTGAGGGGTCATTTATCAGTTTATATTTTGCACTTCGGAGTAAAGATAGAAGGTGTCCCAACGTGGGTGCCTCGTAAGTCCCGCATACTAGAATCTAATTGAAACGACCTTTGTTTCTCATGGCAGCATTGTGCAGAGGCTGGTGTGGTCCTGCCTGGGGTCGGGGCAGGCTCCTCTCCTCTGCATGTTGTTGTCTGTTTGCCTAGGCCTTCCGGTGTGTACCGAGTGCTTCTTTCAGCCCTCACAAGAAAAAATGAGGCTCTTTGGAAATAATAAAAAATAAAACTGATGAAAACCCAGACTCCAAAATGATAATGTTGGAATCAAGAGATGACTGCTGGTTGCTGCAGTAGATAAGCCAAGAGCTTGTAAACATCGTTCTTTTCTGGAGTTTTGGTTACTTTTTTTTACCTCCATGCAACATTGCGCAGAGATGTGTGAGGCGGACACACGGACACACCTGAGACCTGCTGGTCAAAACACAGATCCACCCAAGGTGAGGGGTCACTGTTATTCGCAGTTATTCACTGTTGCCAAAAAGTCATGGGATGCTCGAAGTGCCAAAGGAAGTTTCAGGTTGTAAATGGGACAGCATCGCAGCATCAGTGATCAGAACCAAGTGTGAAACATTCCAGGCCAGGTTCCTTTCTTGGCCTGATAATTACACCCATGGATTTTTTTTTCCAGCCACATGTTGACTTGTTAAAAAAATAACATTTATTTCAGCTAGCCATTTAAAGACCTAAAATTATGTCTTTAAAGAAGAGTTTTGTGATGTTTGTGGCTTTTTTTTTTCTTTAAAATATGGCTGAATTTTCTTTGAAGCAACAGATGAGAAATACTGTCCCTGACTCTAAATAATGGAAGTCGTGGTCGATGCCACATTATTCCCCATACATGGGTCTAAAAAGAGTGAAGACATTCTGATTAGATTCACTTCTGAATGACTGACTGATTAAAGTGAAACCTTGAACTGATGGATGCACATAGTTCTGCCTCCTTATCCTTTGTGGACTGAAACCTCTGGTCATTGTGAGCTTCTCTTATAGCACATTTGGCTTTGAAAAAACGGTATGCTCCAGACCACTGAAATTGTCATTGAGTCCTTTGTGTTGAAGGACCAAGTGCCCATGTCTGTGTGATGATGCTCATTGCACATGACAAGGACGGAAGCATCCTTCATGAATCAGGAGCCTTGGGTGCTGGAGGCACGTCCTGGGCTTGATGGCAGTGGGGAGATTCACAGTCAGGGTGGGTTCACTTCCTCACGACTTAGACAAGATGAGGACCCTACTCTACCCGTCCCAGGTGGCTCCAACAGAACGGATCAAATGACACGTGAATGTATGCGTTGCATGAGCGTAAGGTAATGAAGACTGAATACCAGGTTAGCACTCAGGAGATCCAGTGGCCAAGGGGCTGCTGTTGTAAGTGTGGTTGGTTGGCTACTTGACCTTACCAAGGCTGCTTCCCAAGGAAAGGTAGATCCCCAAAAGGAGATGGAGTGGTGAGTTCCTGTGAGGGAGGGTGGCTTTGGTGCCTCAGCTGTGTGATTCAGGTGGCTGTCAGCGCCACGGGAGGGCTGTAGAAGAACCTGATTTCAAGTGGAATGCTCCCCAGCAGAAAGTTTTGGCTTTGGAAGGAAATATTTTTAGAAGTCTTCGTTAAATTGGCAGGAATCTTTTTTGTTAAGATTCTTTGATGAAAAAAAAGCATATAAAGATTCAAAATTGGCTCTGAGTATTATGGATTGAAATAGCTTTCTCTTCGTTTAAAGCAGCTTCCTCTCCATCCTGAAAGAGCACATTTGCCAAGCAAAGAGTGAAGCAATATTTCACTTTTGAGGAAAGAGTTCTAGTAAACACATATACAAATTACCTTTTTTTTTTTTATGGACTAGCAAATGGGGAAAAGTGGTTCCTTTTTTAAAACAGATGTTTTTCTTCCATCACCAGCTGCACACTTTAAAATTCCATTCAACAGATACTTATTTAGCAGCTACTCTGATTCATGCATGTGTTAGACCTTCTGAGCAGAGAGGTGAACAGGACTAACCTCTCCCCAGACCTTAGGAAATCTGATATTCTGGTGCTCCTTATCTTAGACTCTGTCTCAAATTCTTCCTGAGTTGAAGTTTACTTTAAATCTTTTTTTTTTCCCCATCAAAAACCTTTTCTGAACAGCTTAAATAAATGCTTAATGCTCTGTCTCTTATCAATTCCTTTGTCCTTTGCTATTTTACTCATTCATTTGGTGTTTGTATTTCAAATTGCATAATATTGCGTATTTATCCTGACTTCCTCCATCATGCTTGCATGTAAATTACATCTCATCAAAGTCATAGTGTCTTTCCTCATGTGGTTTTCTCAGAATACACGTGAGTGCTTGGATGTTCGATATTGGTGAATGCCACAAATATTAAATGAATCACTTATTTTTATGGTAGCATATCTCAAAGGCATTCATCATTTAAAGTAAGAGCTGCAGCAAGATGCTCCATGGAGGAAGCTTCCATGTTTGAAAGGGGAAAATAAATACACAGAGCGGATTGGAGGTCTAGACTACTGGCGCATTAAGTGGAAATTAGCTAAGTAGAGAATGGTGTTAGGGATTTGTCGGTGTTCTAACCAGAAAGAAATAGCAGATAAGAGGATAAAATACAGGAATGCACATGGTATTAGGGATTTTCAGATGGATTAAAAAGGCTGGAGCACGATTGGGAAAGGGGATAAAGTTGATGTGGAAGCCATATGTATTTGTTAAATAAATATGAGTACCATTTTTTTGCCTTATTTGCTATTTTAATTTTTGTCCCTATGAAAGGATGAATTCTCACTGGGAGATTTGCATGAGGAGATCTGTACCTATAGAGAAAGATACTGAAGTGTGGTGAGTGCATTGAATTTGAGAAAGACCTAGGGTTGGGATAAATTGGGATTTACTTGGTAAATCCAGAAAGACTCGAAGGACCTGAATCAATGAAAATACTGAAAACCAGGTTCATTATGAAATGGAAGTGGCAGGCATTGATGAATGCCAGTTCTCTAATGATGTCATTTATTGGTTAGAGGAAGACAGGAAGGACAGTGTGATATCTGAACATTGAATTCGATCTGAGAACTGCCAATGTATATTCCATTTGGAGATACCGATACGTGATTGGCAAACACAAGTCTGAAGTTGGGGACAAAGTCAAGACTAGAGAGGTAGACTGGCACTTTGTTAGTCTGTAAGAGGTTCTTATAAACTGTAAGAATGTGTGAAATTTAAAAAGGAAAGTGAGAACATAGCTAAAAGTGGAGGCCTGGTGAGCGCTGTGATTGAAGATGGGGCCCTGAGAAGGGCCCCACAGAGGAGCTGAATGTAGGGCTCAGAGGCCGTCGGGAAATGCGCAGAACCTCCATCTCATCCGGTCTTAGAGGCTGAGGCGAAGACGTTCAAAAGGAAACCAAGGGTCATTTCCCTGCTACAGTAAATGGAACTCGGCCAGATACAGCCAAGTAGTCTTTAGGATTGGAGACTTGAGTTTTGAATCTGA